TGGCTGATGAAGCCAAAGACATTTTTTTTTTGCTTTGGTAGGAAAATAACGTCCTATTCTATTCTATTCTATTCTGTCTTATTCTATGAATATAATTACATGGACGGAGTTATTTATGGCACATTGTGCCAAAAACTAGAAGGGCCATCAGTCTGTGCCACTTGATGTTGCCATAAAACACGTTAGAAGTTACAGGCAGCTCTACTTGTGGAGCAGAAGCAGACGTGTTGGGCTCTGCTGATGGAGTTTGTCAGATAAGGAGTTTAAAGTGTGGTAATGGGGTTGGCAGTGATAGAGAAGCGGAGAGGTGAAAGCCATTAGGGCACAGTGCGGGAAAGTGAATCTCACCCACATTATCAGACCTTAATCAGATTACAGCCAGGTCTGATGTAGCATCTCGACCCTTCCACCGCTCTCCGTCACTACTGACGTCGTACACTCTCTCTTCTCTCTCTCTCTTTCTCGCTATATGTGTCTGCTTCCTATTTTCTCTCTGCTTCATAAACACATCTCTCTTTCTGCATGATTATTGTGTTAGCTGTGTCAGTGGTGCTGATGGCGACGGGTGCCAGGCCTCTCTGGCTTCCCTGGAAAAAGCCTTACGGGTCATCAAGTTCTGTAGTGTAGATGTGTTACTGCTGGACCAGCAGAGGAGAGAAGATCTCGAGAAAACACATATGTAGATACTGAGGTCACGATGTTTAGAACACAGATGTAGCCGAATGACAGATTGAGGCTGTTTACATCCCAATTGAAAACATATTTTGATTTTAACTGGAATTTAGACTTAAATCCTTTTGCTCTGAGTGACCCTATACCTTAATTATGTTTATTTTATCACAACAAATGATTGAGCATTCCATTGTTTTCCCTACCAAATCAATCATAACACTACTGAAATGTGACCAAATGTTTCGGCAGTGACTGTTTCGGTACTGACAATTTTAGCTCAATTTGAGCAGAACTCAAAAACGCTAGTCAGTACATCACTAGTGAACAGTTGTACATACATAAAATCATAATAATCTTCATTAAAACACAAAAAAACTGCAGAACATAGCTGTGTCGGTAGTGACAATTCTTGATGTTCCACACTGATTTCAGACTTTGGGACATGTTTACTTCAAAACAATGGGATCTACCTGCTCACCATGTGGCCATGAGGGACAGGGATGCAGTCTCACTTCCTGCTCTAAAATGCAGGGGTGTGGCTAAAATAAGGCTCCGCCCACCAACTATAAACTCTGTGTTTCGGTAGTGACAATTTTTGCTCATTTTGAGCAGAACTCAAAAACAGGAGTCAGTACATTACTAGCAAACCCTTGTACACACAAAATATCATAATAATTTTCATCATAACACTAATAAATTTCAGAACATATGTGTTTCGGTGGTGACAGTTCTTAATGTTTCACACTGATTTCCAGACTTTGGCTCACATTTACTACAAAACAATTGGACTTAACTGCTCACCACGTGGCAATGAGGGACAGGGATGCAGTCTCACTTCCTGCTCTACAATGCAGGGGTGTGGCTAAAATAAGGCTCCACCCACAGACTAAAACTCTTTGTGTTTCGGTAGTGACACAAAAACGTGGGAAGGCATTTTAAACTTTTTTTTTCTTAAAAACTAAACTGATAAATGTAAATCTGTTACTTCACTTTAAAATCTTTTAAAAAAAAACATTGGAAAAAGTAAATATTATTTTCTCAAGTTGAAATTTAGGGGTTTTGGTTTGGGATATGTTTGTATATATTTAGCTTATTGGTATCTCAATTAATGCCTTGGGTTTAAATGAGTCATAGTGCAATCCTAGTAAATATCTAAGGTCTGAATACTTCATTGTTTTTTTTTTAAATAGTTTTTATTTATTTATTTTTTTAACTGTGGGACCACAGTTTGAACTGGTCCACATAAAAATGTTGCTATAAGTGGTGGGTTGGCTTCATTGTGGTTGCACAGATAAAGAATCCATACAAAGAGCTGATGTAAATGACTGTCTCAGTCCACAATAAGCAGTGTGGGTTGAAAGAGAATGTCAATGTTGAAGCGATCCTGCTAAAATCACAAGGACAGCTCAGTGATAAAGATGGCTCTGTGGACGGTTCCAGCATAAGCTCTGGTTCCTTTTCAGGGCCTGTCACGGTCACTAGGTTAACCAGCCGTTCCTAAACCCTGACCCGGCCAGAGCAAGAGCTCCAAGGCCAGAGGGCCCACTGGGCCCCCCCAGGACCCCTGCTATGACTACAGGACACAATTATGGCCAGTGTTTCCAAACACAGCCCACGACTTGTCATGAGCGGGTCAGGCCCTCGCCTTAATCCGGCCCAACGGAGGGGCCTCTCTTTCAGAGCAGCGGCCTTTGATTCTGACCCCATTTAACCCTGCAGAGGCGGGAGAGAGAGCGAGAGAGAGAGAGAGAGAGAGAGAGAGAGAGAGAGAGAGAACGAGAGCGGTATATGCAATATCTTGGTTCTACATGGCAATATTTTTACAATTATATATGTAAAACATACAAAATTTTAAAAGCTAGTACTTTGCAACAACACACATTTCAAATTTGTTGGAAACTCAGAATTTCATTTTTTTTTCCTTCACAGTGGTTTGATGTGAAATACTACATTCTAGGCAAACTAACTGAGTCAGAATTGTTCACAGTGGTGGTGATAGGAACCAGACGTCTGAAGAGTTTAATGCCTCTGAAAGCTACATTAGAGAAAGTTATTACGTGAAATGGTTATGAATATCACTCCCTGACAATGGAGACATTGTATTATGATAGTTTTGAGGTTTTGGCCTAAAACATATGTTATTAAAATCTATTCATGGTACAAAACCACTTTACCATTACCAGTGTTACATATAAAAAAACTATAGGTTCACAGGATGCTTTGATAGTAAATAAAATGGCTATATTTGTATTGTAGACATTGTGACCCCTGGTTTCTGTCACCACCACTGTAAAAAAATCTGAGTTAGTAATTTTCTCTACAATGAACAATTTTACACCAAACCACTCTGAATGGCTGTTTTATGACTACTGATTTATGCAGAAATTTAGAAAAGTTGGTGGAATTTCCCCATAAGAAATATTAGATGTGTCTAGAAAGTTGAACGGAGCAGTAGATGATTTTCAAATGAGCAACAAAGCTGAGAATATTCTGTATTTCAAAAGGGGTGATTAAATTTGAGGCAGATTCCTTGACAAGAAATCGATATTTATATTATTCACCATTTAATTACTTCTTATACCCAAAAACCTGCTGACATTCAGTTCTATAGTACTGAATGAGTTATCATTATGTCATTATTAAAATCAATACTTTTAAACATTAGTGGACATTTAATATATATATATATATATATATATATATATATATATATATATATATATATATACATATTTATATATATATATATACATATTTGTCGAAACAAAACCTCATATCTCCAAAATTGATAAACTTTACAAGAAAAGGAAAAAACCTGCTTTACTTTCAATGTAAGTCAATGGAACCAGACATTTTTCCAAGTCATTTTAGGCCATTTCTTTTGGTCCTTTCTTCATAAAATTTACATACAATGTAAAGAACAACAAACATTTTCAAATTATGTCAAAAACTGAAAAACGACAAAAATCGAGATACAAGGTTTTCTTCTGACGGCAGTGCTATATTGTACATGGCTGAAGGTTCATCTCAAATTAAAAGCATTATCGTCTTCCAGTTTTGACCTTTTGATTGGCACTGTGGGCTCTGATAGACTTCTATTGATATAAAAACCAAGCTAAACCAGCTGTTCCAGCTATTTTCTCCTATTATCTCCTGACAATCAATTCTGATTGAATATGGAGGAGTCGGTTGGGTACAGCGTGAATGGTGACCCTGTGGTAAGCAGATGAAGCAGGAGAAGCTGGCATCTAAACTGATCATTTCTGCATCAGCTGCGGCTTTTAGTATCGATGACCCATGAAACCTGGAGCAGTCGCACAGGACCCCTAACAGCTTATTGATTGCGTGTCTTTTCAGGCTTTTGGGGCCTCCATACCAAAGTTCAGGACAGCTGGGATGGGCTGCTCTACTGGTCCCGTCTTCAAAACTCATCCAGTGTCTATTTAGAAAACACTTACTCCAATTTCATGGCAACGTCAGTAATGAGGTAGCTTTCTTTGAGTAATTGGTGGAAGATCATCTTTGTGGAAGGAATGCTCTTTATACCAAACCTACAAGAACATATAAGGAACTCCAGGTCTCCAGTTTAATTGCCACTATCTGTGTCCATAAACTGATACAATTTGTCCTGAATATACTTGATTTACACTGAATTATAAAGTTGTTTAGAATTAGATGAACAAATAATGAACAAATATGAAATATTAGAAGTAAAGATTAAAATAAGAAGTTATAATTATATTATATAATTATGTATTATTATATATTATTATTATATATTGTATAGTTATGATTTTCTGGACTGTTATCTTGAGATCACAAGACAGCATAAGTTTTCTTGATATCACAACTTATTTGTCTTGAAGCTATCTCAAGAAAACAACTTTTGTTATCTTGAGATCACAAGATAAATAAGTGGCGATCAGTAAACGTCTGACAGGCAGTGTATGAAAAGCTCCCTGTATCGACGCAAAGATTTACTGCAAGTAAAAGGCAAATAAGGAATTATTGCACTTAATGCTCTGGAGAAGTTGTTACCCTTAATCCTCAGCCACTTTCTGGGCAAAGAATAGTAAGCTGAGCAAACAGACTCCAACAGGTGGTTTAAGGTCCTGTGTGGATGGCTGCTCAGATATCTCGATAAAGAAAACAAAGACGCAGAGAAAATGGAATCTAAGGATTAGAAAAAAGAAGAAGGGGGAAAAAAGCACACCCGCACATCTTTACAGATCAGTGGCCGGGAAAAGGTCTGAGTATCGATTTGCGAGAGGTACCTTTGTGAAATATGGAAACATGGCAGTGGATTTTTCTGTCTAGTGATGGCAAAGATGACCTTCTTTGGCTCCTCTGAGATTGAGCTGGAGAGCTTTAATGTCCAAGCGTTGGAATCCAGGCCTATCAAACGTGCCCGGCTCAGGGGTAGGGTTTTTTCTGTAAGCCGGACCTTGTATTGGATTTTATGAAGGCGCAGAAAGAGCGACTTACAGCACAAAGCGGCCTCATCCAGCACGCCTTTCAGTGGAAGGTTGAAAGGTAATTGGCCCACGGTCCACGAACAGCGGTGCTGTCAGATCAGACGTGATTGACGGCTCTGGCTCCCAAAAAGCCTCATTTGTGCAGAGTTTCTCGCTCGCCATGGCGGTAAATATCCCTATCCTCATCAAGACATGTCTGCTTGAGTGGTGAGAGTAATGACTAATGCGGTTCACACGGAGAGGCAGCGAAGCTGAAGGTCATTTAATGATGGTACATCTTCCTGTGCCTGACATGGACGCACACTACTGATGATGACTAAAAATCCAGACGTAAGACACTTGACAGCTACTTGGATAACACTGAGCGCATATCAGTAGCATAGTACAGTTTGCAATGGGTAGCCTATTGTACAAGTATTCCAAGGCAGCTGATCCAGATGCATGGTCTTCAGAAGAGAATGGACTACAAACCTTAAACCCAAGAAGGTTAAGACAGGAAAAGACAGCAGTGATTAGTAAATTCTGACTTTAACATAATTGAACAGCAGTACAAAAACACAATGTTTTACCTTATGAACTGTACTAATTTTTTACGATATCACATATGTCACATAACATATGCTCAGTCCAAAAAAGGGTGTTTGTCATCACCTTTCACTTTAAAAGCAAAAAAAAACATCTTTTGGGGACCGAAGATGCCAAAATTTGAAAGGGATTTTTTTCGGCCATTCATTTATATACAAGTCTTCATCTGCACCACTGCACAGGGTCTTCATCGTCGTATTTTGTGCTTCATAAGGCTCCACATGTTCAATGGGAGGCCAGTCTCACACCCGTTGAACATGTGGACATCCCTGAAAAAGACATCATACAGAAGGTGGTCCAAAATGTGTATATATCTTTCAGCTGTAATGTTCCCTTCACAGATATGCAAGTTACCCATTCCATGGTTACCGCCATACCATGAAAGGCCCTGGCTTTTGAACTTTTCGATGATAACAATCTGGATGGTCCTTTACTTCTTTGTTCCATCAATTAGTTCTATAAACAATCTGAGAGGTTGACTCATCTGATTACAATACGTTTCCGCTGTGCATCAGTCCACTTCAGATGAGCACGAGCCCAGAGAAGTCGGCGGCGTTTCTGGATGTTGTTGACATATGACTTTCACTGTACATAATACAGTCGTAACTTGCATTTGTGGAGGCACTGGCGAACAGTGTTTATTGACAACAGTTTGTCAAAGTATTCCCATGTGGTGATATCCATCACAGAAGCATGAACCGGTTTTTAATGCAGTGCTGTCTGAGGGGTCAAAGGTCATGGCTGTATTATCAGGCATGGTTTTTGGTGTCTTACACACCGGGATTTGTCTACATTTCCTGAATCTTTTAATAATATTATGCACTGTGGGTGAAATACATAAAATCCTTGCAATTGTTCATTGAGGGACGGTTTGCTTAATCTTTTGGATTATTTGCTGAAGCAATTTTTGACAAAGGGGCAAGCCTTGACCCATTCTTGCTCATAGACTAGGCCTTTCAAGTATGCTCCTTTTAGACCCAAGGGCAACTGCATCACCTGTTTAAGATGTTTTTGAACATTTGTCAACATTCCTAATCTTAAATTGCCCCCTGTGGAGCTCTTGTATGGAGTTATAACTCACAGGTTTATATCAATTAGAAAGTATAGTTGGTAACTTTACAGCCTTGTACATTGAAGATAGGGGTTCAGTTCCCTGCTTGAGTAACAATGCTAGCATTTTTGGCTGCCTTAGGAACTCTTAACACTAGGTTTGGTTTCCTATGAAGCATGATTACACTGTCTTTCTTGATAAAAGTGTTTGCAATATGCTATAAACAAAATTTAAAGTGGGGTTTAATTCAAGTTCAGTTTGTCCTTTTTCCCATGAGCCCCTGATCTGAATCATCTGAAGAGTGACCATCAGCAGCATAACATACCAATGGTCAAATGTATAGACCCCATTTAAGAGGCTCCATTTATTGGCAAGTTTCAGAAAAAAAAAAATCAGTCAGTCCCACCCCTTCAAACAAAAACCTCACACCATCCCACTCTTACCAAAAAGCCCTGAGATCTTAAGATCAGACTCATCCTTAAACGTCAATTCTTCCAAAGAGAATTGCTAAACACAGCACGCGGTTAGGGGTCCAGGGGCACTAGCTGAGCAAATCCACCATTTAACAGAGCAGGCGGGACAGGGTATTGATTAAGAGAAGGGAAAATCCATTACTAGGGGTTATTCTTAACCCTGTCTCCCAGGGATGCCACTCTTATTGACCAAAGGAGGACAAATTGAATAGAGGAAGTGAAGATGTGCAAAGCCCCACAAAAGAAAACTCCCACAGGCAAATACACAGAGGAAAAATACTAAGCTGAAAGAAAAGGTGAATGATAAGAAGCATAAAAGGTGGGAATCCCACTCCAGTGTAGAACTTTCAAGATAAATTGAAATAAAAAAAGACAACTATAACAGTTGTATCTTTATTACAGCCTAGTAGGACTTTGGGACTTATATTAAAGAGACATCTTTACATCCTTACAATGCTCAGGCAAGTACCATCACTATAATGAGTCCTCTTATTTGGAAAGGAACACTGAACTTCAAATGCTTGCTAGTCATTTTTCGGAGAAACATATAACCACCAGTGAATAGGTGATACAGTGTATGGCCAGATGTATGTGGACATCCCTCTTGATTATTGTCTACAGGTGTTTCAGCCACATTCATTACTAACCGGTGTATACAATCAAACACACAGGCATGCAATTCCTGTAGACAAACATTGGCAGTATAATGGGTTGGACTGAAGAGCTCAGTGACTTTAAACATGGCGCTGTCATAGGATGCTACCTTTGCCACAAGTCAATATGTGAAACTTCTGCTCTGCTAGATCTGCCCTAGACAACTGTAAGTGCTATTATTGTGTGTCTAGGAGCAACAACAGCTCAGCGACACAAACTCACAGAGCGAGGCCACCAAATACTGAAGTGCATTACTCACTACAGAGTTCCAAATTACTTCTGGAAACATCATCACAAAAACTGTGCATCAGGGTTTCCATGGTTGAGCAGTTGCGCACTGCCTATGTTCACTATATGCAATGGTAAGTGTCGGCTGGAGTGGTGTAAAGCATGCTGCCACGCTGCCACTAGATTCTGGAATGTGTCCTCTGGAGTTAGGGCTGGGAATCTCTAGGCACCTCACGATTCGATTCGATTACGATTCACAGGGCTGCGATGCGATTATAAAACTTGAGATTATAAAATCGCGATGCATCTTTTTTTTCCCATACATCATTTCTATTTTCCTACTACCTATTTGTAATGATCCATAATGAATTTACTTCCAATATCTTTTATTAATAAGTCAAATGGAAGTGATGTGGCAAGTGAACTAGACGGCTCTCATTCACTGCCTTTGGAGCACGAGAAGCTGCTGCTACTCATCTGCGTGATGGATGTCCATGCAGCACATGTTACAGCTATTCTACCCGTTTTTATTGACTTTATAACTTTGGTTTTGGTGTCGTTGTAGAGACGGGGGGGGTCGCTGTGTCAGTAAAGTATCTTTGAGACGGGTCGTGTGCAGCATAGCGCAAAAGCCCTGTTTCGCAACGACTGAGAATTGCCGTGCAGACTGCAGGTCGCATAGCAACAATGCGTTATTCGCATTTATAAGCAGCGCAGTTGGTTTCCTGGTACATTAAATCTGCAAGGAGAGACTGTCAAACACTAAAAAGTCGCAAAGATGAAGTCACTTCTCTTCCGAATTCTCCCGTTCCACCTTAAATGGTGCCGTATTTACATTCGGTGCCTCAGTCAGAATTTAAGGTGGAACAGGAAAATTCGAACAAGAAGCTGGAGAATGAGAAGCGACTTCAGCCTCATAAGACAGCCGAATGTTGAGAGACATTTTACAAGAAACTGCTCAAGTTTTGAGGAGAAGTTTTCTGGCGGAAACGGGAGGAAAGCGGCTGTAGGCGAAGCTTAAAGCAGAGTAAAGTAAGTCTGCGTTCTTGTTTATATTGTTTAGTCTATACTAGGACATTATCACATACTGAGACATACTGGACATTAAATGTTGCGGCTCCCAAGGTGGTTTGATATTTGTTGAAAGGACAAAATGGCTCTTCTGATCATTTGTCCTGTGACTCCTGACCTAACCTGGCTTTAATGCAGAGGGAGCCGGTCGGATTTCTCACTCATCCAGTGGTGTTTTTGTTATGTGCCGCCACAGACTGTCCGGGCGCTGCACTTACCCACTTCCACGTTCCGCCTTTTGCGTCCGTCAACATTACGTTATAAATTAAATATTTAGAAAATCGATTTTTGGCATTTGTGAATCGATTCAGAATCGTTCACGTCCGCATCATGATGCATCTAAGAATCAATTTTTTCCCGCACCCCTATCTGGAATGATGAATCACGCTTCATTATCTGGTAGCCTGATGGACCAGTCTGACGCATAGTGTCAATGGTAAAGTTTGGTGAAGTGGGAATAATAGGGCTGTTTTTCAGGGTTTACAACCTTAGTGAAAGGTAATTTTAGTGCTACATCATACAAAGACATATTAGACAATTATATGCTTTCACTTTTGTGGTAACAGTTTGGGGTAAGACCCTTTCCTGTTCCAGCATGACCAGCCCCTGTGCACAAAGTGAGGTCCATAAAGACATAGTTTGATGAGTTTGGTGTGGAGGAACTCCAGGACCTTCACAGACCTCTGATTGCCCCATTGAACATCTTAGGGTTGAGCTGGAATGCAAATTGTGAGCCAGTCCTTCTCGTCCAACATCAGTGCCTGACCTCAAGAATGCTCTTTTGAATAAATGGGAATAAATTCCCACAAATCTTGTGGAAAGCCTTCCTAGAAGAATGGAGGTTGTTATAACCGCAAGGTGGAGAGGTCAACTCCATATTAA